CACTGATTGTTGTTCCATAAAGCTGTGTCTATATATCGTACTCACAATTGCTAAATGCCATTCAAAGACTTTCGGGATATTTATATTGACAGAATGGAGGGGGAATGGTGGGTTGGTGTATGGGCTTGCAGGTAAGTAGAATCCTAAATAACTGAATGGTTTTCATGTAAAATATTGTAGTTGTTATAGAAAGGATGTTAAAATATTTAGTAGTAGGGTTTACAGGCAGAATCCTTGAAATCTATGGTTGTTCATCTCTGTTTGCATATATGTATAAGCTTATCTAAGTTGTTATCCTATGAAACCTAAGGTGTTATCCTATAGAACTTAAGTTGTTATCCTAGAAAACCTAAATTTTTATCCTAGAAAACCCAAGTTGTTATCCTAGAAAACCTAAATTTTTAAACTTAAGTTGTTATCCTAGAGAGCTTAAGTTGTTATCCTAGAAAACTTAAGTTGTCATCAGAGAAAACATAAAGTGTTATCTCAGAAAACCTTAGTTGTTATCCTAAAAAACCTAAGTTGTTATCTTACAAATATAAAATTGTTATCCTAGATAGCCTAAGTATTTATCTTAGAAAACCTTAGTTGTTATCATAGAAAACCTAAGTTGTTATCTTACAAATATAAAATTGTTATCCTAGTTAATCTAAGTTGTTATCCTAGAGAACCTAAGTTGTTATCTTAGAATCATTATAAAATATGGTTGTTTATTTCTGTCAGCATAAATTTATTATTTATATCTGTGGGTATAACAACATCAATACACACCATAATACACCTATTAATACATGTCTTGAAGCTAGATCTATTAGTTCACATGTACTCAGTTTTAAAGGGATTGTATAGAGGTTTTCTAAAGTGTTGTGTGTATCTGGTGCACAGGTAGCATCAATTTGCACAATTCAAATTTTGAGTCAGACGTCTGTGGTTCCTGCCATTTTATTAGAACTAAGCATTTATGGCATTAGATACGTGCAGATTTGTGATTAGTGATGTCATCTAATGGTTTTAGTTAAATTGCAGGAACCCCAGATGTCTGACTACAACTGAGAAGGGTGTAAATTGATGCTATAATTGTCCCCAATACACACAAGTTTATAAAACATAAAAAATCCCTTTAACATATTATTCACAGTATATACCTGACTGCTTGCAAATGACATTTTTGTCAAAATAATTGAGTTTTTTGTTCATTCTTTGTGAGATAAGTATATCAAAATAACAATATGACTCTTTAAAAATATGTCAATTAGATCAATCTTAATGTCAAATAATTGCCAAAACCGACATGCAAATAAGTGTTAATTTGATCTTTGTGAGATTATCAATACCTGGTTATAATCAAGTAGACTAGAATAATGAAGTAAGACAACTTATCCAGGAAAAAACTGTGTCGACTAGAATATTTGCCAAGCATTTACAGTTGACTCAACTGGTATAAGATGATTTATTCAGTATTCATTTACATCTGGGTTGACTGGAATAATGAGGAAAGATGACTTAATCAGAATTCATTTACAGCTGGGTTGACTGGAATAATGAGGACAGATGACTTATTCAGTATTCATTTACATCTGGGTTAACTGGAATAATGAGGAAAGATGACTTATCAGAATTCATTTACATCTGGGTTAACTGGAATAATGAGGAAAGATGACTTATCAGAATTCATTTACAGCTGGGTTGACTGGAATAATGAGGAAAGATGACTTATTCAGTATTCATTTACATCTGGGTTAACTGGAATAATGAGGAAAGATGACTTATTCAGTATTCATTTACATCTGGGTTAACTGGAATAATGAGGAAAGATGACTTATCAGAATTCATTTACAGCTGGGTTGACTGGAATAATGAGGACAGATGACTTATTCAGTATTCATTTACATCTGGGTTGACAGGTATAATGAGGACAGATGACTTATTCAGTATTCATTTACATCTGGGTTGACAGGTATAATGAGGACAGATGACTTATTCAGTATTCATTTACATCTGGGTTGACTGGAATAATGAGGAAAGATGACTTATTCAGTATTCATTTACATCTGGGTTAACTGGAATAATGAGGACAGATGACTTATTCAGTATTCATTTACATCTGGGTTGACTGGAATAATGAGGACAGATGACTTATTCAGTATTCATTTACAGCTGGGTTGACTGGAATAATGAGGACAGATGACTTATTCAGTATTCATTTACATCTGGGTTGACTGGAATAATGAGGACAGATGACTTATTCAGTATTCATTTACATCTGGGTTGACTGGAATAATGAGGACAGATGACTTATTCAGTATTCATTTACATCTGGGTTGACTGGAATAATGAGGACAGATGACTTATTCAGTATTCATTTACATCTGGGTTGACTGGAATAATGAGGACAGATGACTTATTCAGTATTCATTTACATCTGGGTTGACAGGTATAATGAAGAAAGATGCTTTTATCATTGGGTACTGTTGCACTTTTACACATCAACACACCATCGATATGAAACTTGTCAGAAAGCTACTAATATAAGTCCTTAATATCTATTTTAAATTTAAGAGAAATTCCTATCTCCATCTTCAATTAATTTTCAAGTTTACAGGTGGAATTTTTTCCGTTAATGGCAAAATGTCAGAGGGACTTAACTCTTTGTTTGGTTGTACTTTCTTCGTGAAATCATTCATTCGTAAATTATATCAACAAATAGTCAATATTTTAAACTCATGTAACAACTGCAGAAGCAATTATTTTCATTGATGCCCTGAAAACCAGTGCTGGCACGATATAGCAGCGAATCGATGTATCGAGTATCGATAAATGTGGGGATTTTTTATAAGTCTGTAAATGGAATCACACATTATTCTCACTGACTTGATTGAAGTTTTAGGAAACTTTTTATAAAACAGGGGGACTGACTTGACTTGCTTGTACAGATATTTATTTTTTATTGTACACTGTTAAAAACATGCCACTTAGCTGGCTTGTACAGCTGTTTAGGCTATAAACAACACTGCAGTCAATGTCAACAGACTTAACAACTCTTTAATCCTAGCTCAAAATTGATAAAACACAATAAAAACTATAGTATAAAGAGAGATTTATATAACATTGTGTATGTATGTTTGTTGTTTATAAAAATTGAGATCAAAAACGGCAAAATCAATAAATCAATAAATCAATAAAGGTCAACATGTCCTTATTTTTTTAGTTCAGATCATGGTATATATTTTAAACAAAGACAACGTAAGAGGGAAACTGTCTATAGCCATCCGGTTGTGTACAAATAAAACTTTCATTTACATCTGTCATGTTTTTAAAACATACATCAGTCAGATAAATATATCCAGTGTATTACAACAATTTCAATAATCAAATATCCCAATCCTTATTCACTAATAGTAACATAAGTGGTAGATGTTACATTTAGAACTTTTAGGACTTCTTCTAAAACTCAAATATTCATCCACATTCAGAATGCTTTAAAGAGATTTTCTAAAAATTTGGATGTGTATTGCAGACACTGATGGCATCAATTTACACCATTCCAATAAATGCCTAACGTTCCTTTGGCAACAGTAGATTTTATTCACATCTATCCGTTGCTTGCACAATCTCATATTCTCGTCATTAGAGACTTATAATCTTCCTTGGCAGACCATACGTCAACATTCAATTTAGCCAATTTATCAATCATTATTACAAATGGCCACCTTAATTGAATTATCATGGCCCATCCTGGCCCCCTAGTAGAAAGGCTACCGACTAAAGAACGAGAATTGGGTTAGAGAATAA